CTAATAAGAACAGAGAAGACCCATCTAACTTTGAGATGGAAAAAACAGTCTTTGTAAAGGACAAAATTATCAAAGCGAAACACAAAACAAAATTTAAGAGAAATTACGTTCAACAAAATAATGATGTCACGTTTATTACTGAAAATAATTCAAATGTACACATCTATAGTAAAAAGTTGAAGTATTCACTAATTACAGGATCCTCCGGCATGCAGTTTTAATATCGAGATTCACAATGTAAAAGAAGACCCCATACCCATAGTAAAGCTAGGAGAAGCAAGAATTCTAGAACACTGGACTAGCCTATCGGTCCCAAGCAGGGTCCCACAAAGTCACTTGCAATCGAAAATCGTCAAGCGACAATGAAGCTGTCAACCATCACTTTCAATTGAAAGTCATTATGTCTTCTCTTCGAGCAGATCCCCGTCAACATCAACAGAACCACTTTCGATCAGTTTTCATGCTGTTTGTTTTGGCTTGACTCATTTCTTCTTTCATTGTCAAATGAACTTACTTTTGCATTGAAGCGAAGCTGTTCGATCCAAATTCGTGCAGTTTTTATGACTTTTGTTGCTTTTTCACTCGGTTCATTTGAGAGTATGCGCATAGATCTGTGCACGTGGATGTCAAATTTATCATTGTCAGGTGGTTTGTTTACCCATCAATATGGGTATTTTTTTTTAATCGGGTGACGTCTAGAGATCGAAAATTGAAATCCAATGTGGCAGCTTCCAATTTAAGATAAAGTGGAAAATGCTGTCAAATACTTATCAATAAAGGTATTTTGGGGATCGAAATGATGTCTAGAGGATGAAAATCGATATCCGACGCCATTTGGAAATCGAAGTGGCGGCTTCCGATTTACGAAAAAGTGGAAATACAGTCAAATACACATCAATATTGGTATTTTTTGTAATCGGCATTAAGTCTACAGATCAAAAATTGATATGCGACGTCATTTCGAAATCCATGATGGTGGCTTCCGATTTCAGATTAAGTGGGAAATACTGTCAAATACGTATAAATAAAGGTATTTTGGGAATCGAAATGATGTCTAGAGGATGAAAATCGATATCCGACGCAATTTTTAAATCCAATATGGCGGCTTCCTACTTCAGAAAAAATGGGAAATGCTGATACCGTCCCATCAATATGGGTATTTTTGGACGGGATGAAATCAATATCCAACACCATCCATGATGGCGACTTCTGGTTTGAGAAAAAATTGTATCAAATACCCATTAAACGGTTTTTTTTTAGAATCAGGGTAACGTCTAGATGCTGGAAATCGATATCCGACGCCATTTTGTAAACCAAGACGGCGGCTTCCGATTTGTAGAAAAGTGTCAAATATCCTAAAATATGGTTATTTTCAGAATGAGGATGGACGTAGATGCTGAAAACTGATGTCACGCAGTCTTTTAATCCAAGATGGCGGCTTTGGTTCAGAAAAACTGGGAAATACTGTCAAATCGGGTTGACATCTAGAAAAAAGAAATCGATGTCCGACGCCATCTTTAAATTCATTAAATTCCGATTTCAGAAGAAGTGTCAAATAGCCTACAAATGGCATCGTATATCGATTTTCAGCATATACGCGTCGTCCTCGTTCCGAAATACCCAGATCTTAGGGTATTGGACACTTTTTGTGAAACCCGATGGCTGCCATATTGGATTCCAAAATGGCATCGGATATCGATTTTAGGCATTCACACGTTGTCCCCATTCCGAAAATACCCATATTGTAGGGTATCAGACACTTTCTGAACCCTGATGGCCGCCATATTGGAATCCAAAGTGGTATCTGATATCGATTTTTGGCATCTACGCGTTGTCCCTGTTCCGAAAATAACCATATTGTAGGGTATTTGACACTTTTTCTGAAACCCTATGGCCGCCATGTTGGAGTCCAACATATCATCGGATATCGATTTTCGGCAGCCACGCATTGTCTCCGTTCCGAAAATACCCATATCTTAGGGTATTTGACACGTTTTATGAAACTTGATGACCAGGAGATCAATAGGGTAACCACTGAACAAATGGATCGAACCCTTCGGGGTAAATACCAGTAGACCATTAAACGGGGCAATAACATTCGGCAATCTACCGCTATCGGCGTTCTAAGAAGCATCCCTTCCCGCTTCATAGACCTGAATACCGACCTACCCGTAGTAGGGGTACAACTGGAAGGAGACTATAGGATCACGGTAGTTTCGGCCTATCTACCGTGCGGCAGAATCCCAAACATCAATGGACAAATCTCGGAAATATTATGTAACCTACCTGAACCTAGGATCTTAGTAGGGGACCTTAACGCCCACTGAGGCGATACACCGATCCTGGCAGACACCTTCGACCAAAAGGACATGGTCGTTCTTAACGACGGTTCTTCTACCTTTTTCAACGGCAGGTAGTCCTCGGCCATTGACGTGACTGCTATCAGCCGCTCCCTTGCAAGCAAGGCTACCTGGACCGTAATCCTGGACCTTCACGGCCGTGACCACCATCCAATACTTATCCCGCTCTGCGCGGGGTCGACACCTGTAACGACGAGGCGTCCAAGATGGCGATACGACCAGGCAGACTGGCTGGCTTATGAGATTTATGTCAATATACTATTAGAACAAAAGAATCCTACCGATTTTTCAGAATTCACGAGCATAATCCTAGATGCGGCACGACTAGCCATTTCCCGGACTGGCCCAACTCCCGGGCAAAAAGCTCTTCGCTGGTGGTCTGAAGAGACAAAAGTGGCAGTGAAAGCTAGACGAAAGGCATTTCGGCATGGCAAGCGCCTCCCAACCACCCGCAAAAGGAATTAACCCTACAAACATATAGAGAACGGCACAACCAATGCATGCAAACCATCCGGGATGCCAAACGAAATAGTTGGACCGACTTCCTGGAGAGCATAAATGCTTCCCAGTCGTCCGCGGACCTGTGGGGAAAAGTAAATTCTCTTAGTGGGAAAAGGCGCACCACACCGCTCTCAATCGAGACTGGCGGAACAAACATCGAAGAGATGAACTAGCCTTCTCTCAAATAAAGATTTAAAAAAAAAAATAAGGTACAAACATCACCGACACTGATGCCGTAGCTGAGGAGCTCGGCACCTATTTTGCCAAGCTTTCCGTTATCAACCAATATGGGCCCACCTTTCTCCGCAAAACAAGACCATCTACTGCCGATATCGCCAATTTCCAGATTCCACAAGACAGCATCAACTCTCCATTTAATTATATGATTTGAGTAGTAGCTATACTGAAGATGCCATACAGCAACCAAGTGGTATAAAAGCTACAAATACTCCTCCCATAATGAGTAGTTTGCTATCAACACTGGCTCTTTTCCTTTTGCGTACACGGCGAATGAGAACGACCCAAATTTGAGTTTAGTTCACTCATAATCGCCCAAAGTGCAGGAACTCAGCGACGAGTAAATTTGTCTCATGGTTTCCTGTGGAAAACCTAAAAAATCTACCAGAAAATGAGGAAATTGACGAATATTTTATTCAGTCTCGGAGTAGTACCAATAGACTGAGTGAATCCAATCTTTACTTTTCTCAAATTCGGGAATTTTTCCATGGAAAATCCTGGAAAAACCTGAGAAAACATGAGGTAAATTTACTCATCGCTGAGTTCCTGCACTTTATTTCTTATTTCTGAGATACCTAAACTCAAATTTGGGTCGATCTCATTCGCCGTGATATCACCTTGAAAGATATCGGCGCCGGTGGTTAGCGTGCTTACCTCTCACCCCAGCAGGCCTGGGTCCAATCTCAGTCGGCACCACCGGCATGTTCTAAGGCATAACATCTCTGATCACGCCTTCCTTCGGGAAGTAAAGCCGTTGGTCCCCGGTTCATGAGTTGATGGGTCGATTGGTAGGGTCCAGGTGTGGGAGCTGCCTCCCTGGCGTCGGTAGCATTGAAACTCAGTACGGAAAACAAATCTCGCGTCACTTTTCAATAGGTCCTATCTACATTGATCGATTCTCTTCATCGACACTCTCTTTCGTAAATAACTCGGCTTCACAAATGTTTCCTGCCGTCTTCGTCGAATTAGATGCTAGATTGTTGCTTCTTCCATCGAAAATATCCGGCCGTGGCGATTCAAAGTTGATCAAGGTTGATCAAAATAATGTGTACCCCTGCTTCCAGTTTGATTACATGAGCATTCTGTGTGGTCGTTGGTTCTGAATATGGACAAACAGGCAGATGAATTCTATTCCTACTCTTTACTGTAATAAGCTTGGTGGCCCTGAAACGAGCCGTTTTTTTTTGCCAAAGTTGGTGATGATTTAACCTCCGAAACCAAACAGAGTGCGTCTTTGTCACTTCAAAACGTAGATAACATCCATGGCCGCTTACGCTAGGCGTGTTTAGTGTAGGTGACAGCATAACGGATCTCATTTTTCAGGAACACCTTCAGCACACCTCGTATATCAGACCGGAGATACGTCAGACACCGCCACGGCGAGCCAGACGACGGATGGTGGTTATCTCGGAGAATTTGCGTTTGGTTCTGAATATGGCGATGAGTGTGCAAAATATTACGCAATTCCATCCTCCCTATTCGCACGCGCCCGAGGATCGGAGGCGAATGCCACTTCGACTTGTTTCGTCTACTTACTACTCTCTGACGACTGTGCTGGGGAAGCAGCATATGCATGTAGGTAATTGGTGGATTTGTTAGTTAATTCGACGCTTTTGAACAATGCTGGACATTTACCAGTTTTTCAATAGTTTCTGGAATTTGGAAGCATTGTTATCGATGCGTAGCCATATTTCTGATCGATTAGTGATAAAATTATTGAAATTGGACCAGGGGCAGCTGAGTTATTAACGTTCAAAATCTTTCTTAATTTGTTACATGTTACATTTTCGGTTTTCACAGAGTGTACCCCTAAAATAATGTTTTTCGGAATAATAAAACCAAAAGATGGTATGATGGCATGTTTTACTTGTAAAACATAGAAATCAAAGACGTAGTCCTACGTCAAAATATACTATTCCTGACCTCCTTCTGAAGAACTAATTCATCGAAGTTTTCCCCTACCAAACAACAAAGGAGCTTAAGTATGGCAAGATCAGTCGACGTTTTCACCAAGTGCAAATTGTTGCGGCATGTAAGTGAATATTGAATTATTTTGTCTCTCTTTGATGCAAAATAGTATCGGAAGACGCTTACACTTTTTCCTGTGGCCTTTTCGAAATGATAGTTCAAAAGTATTCTTCGTCGAATCACGGGAAGCTGAGAAATTATTCTGGCTGCATTGATCTCGTCCAACCGGTACCTCACAAAGGCTTGGGATTGGAAAAGAAATGCATCCGTTAGTAGGACTGGTTCGTTTCTTTTGAGTTTTGACAAAGTATCTTTGTCACATTCTTTTGAAGTTTTCTCCCAATATTGTTTGATGGTACCAGCTCGGGCATTACGACTTTTCTTCAAACTCATGACGGGTTTTGTTGCTGCTGCTTGGGAGTCCTTAAGCCTATTAAAATAATTGTTTCGATTGATCATCTTATATTTCAGTTCCACGAAGCCTTGACCAGCTCCGAATCCATCATCATCCGAGAAATCCAAGCACGGGAATTGATAGAGAATTTGCCGAGACACGATTTCCATAGTTTCAGCTCTTATCTGTGTATCGATCATGCGTAGCTGGTCAACTACACAATTTGCTAGCAAACTCACTTCTCTTTTGGTGAAACGTAATGCAGCTGGAGCGAACACACCAGGATTGGCGTTTCTGAAATCTTGCAAGGCTCGCAACCGAACCAGAAGGTTGTCGCTAAAAATCCCTAAGAAAGCGCCATTTAGGCCGATACCGACCGACACCATTGCATTGGGGACAGTCTTCAGATGACTTTTGCATATTCACTTTGTCCGCTTAGGCCTGGGTTGTTGATAAAAAGTTGAATATTCGTAACAATTCCAATATATGGTATGATAACTACTATTGAAAAAATCCCCAAGAAAGCGACATTTAGGCCAATACCGACCTTCACCATTGCATCGAGGACAGTCTTCAGATGACTTTTGCATATTCACTTTGTCCGCTTAGAGATATTGTTATTGTATTGAGATATTGTTAAAAATCCAACACTGCTTCTTGATTCCAAGTTCGTTCTACGAGTTTCAATTCCGTCCTAACGCATTGAAAAGCCATTGAATTCTCTTCGTCCTATTGAGATTTTCACGTCCGGTTGTATTGGTGCGGTACGTGAGAACGTGTTAGTGAAAATCCGAGGAAAATACATAACAAATCGCTGTCAAACACATTTTGACAGATCTAATTTCTTACATTTTTAGGTTAGCCAGAGGAAAATAATAAACAACTTTACACGGCGATCCTCCCGCTACATTTTTCTTTCCTTTATTTAACGTCGGTCTCTGTTCCGCAATCTAGTGCCAATCACCGACGGACATCGATTGCCATCCATTGACGGCAATCGAATGTGCAGGAAGGCAGCTTCCACACCTGCGTAGGATATCGCACCCATTCAACATACATGGGCCGGGACCAACGGCTTTACTTCCCTTCCGAAGGAAGACGTGACCAGAGATTTTTATGCCTCAGAAAAATCCCACCGACCTCGGCAGGGATTGAACCCAGACCCATTGGGGTGTTAGAAAGCAGTCACGCTTACCACTACACCACCGGCGCCGGCTATAACTCCCGCTATATTGTGCGTCCGTTAAACGTCACTAATCTCTATGCTGCAGGTATAAATTTAGGAGATTCGCTGGAGCGCTTCTTTTGTTTTGAGAGCAATGAGTGTAAATATGCATACAATACGCTCTAACCGGCTTTGTTTTGTAGCTTATGAAGTAACGTATCAGATCAAACGTATTATTGATTTGTGCACGGTGAAATCATTGATATTATTGATGTTTTCTGCTCGTTAGAACGGAAATGGGCGATTAAGACGAAGTACCGCTCTACCTTATTACTTTTGACGTAGGACTACGTCTTCGATTTCTATATGGGGGTACACTTAGTGAAAACCGAAAATGGAACATGTAACAAATTAAGAAAGATTTTGAACGTTAATAACTCAGCTGCCCCTGGTCCAATTTCAATAATTTTTATCACCAATCGATCAGAAATATGGCTACGCATCGATAACAATGTCCCGAATGTTGATTTTCAACAAGAAACTATTGGAAAACTGGTAAATGTCCAGCATTGCCCAAAAGCGTCGAATTAACTAACAAATCCACCAATTACCTACATGCATATGCTGCTTCCCCAGCACAGTCGTCAGAGAGTAGTAAGTAGACGAAACAAGTCGAAGTGGCATTCGCCTCCGATCCTCGGGCGCGTGTGAATAGGGAGGATGGAATTGCGTAATATTTTGCACACTCATCGCCATACTCAGAACCACACGCTCCCAACGACCACACCACTGTGTGGTGGTGTTCAGTCGTCGAAATTAGTAGCAGCAGTAGCAATGCTTTCGGCGTGTGGCGTTGAAAATTGTTCTCCAGTAACAACGAAAGGCTGCCTGCAAGCAGCGAGCTGCAGAGCCTACATAAGCAACCATCTAAGGAGGAGGAAGATGCACCGCTATGCTATGGATCGGAATCAGTAGCTCTTCGTGAGTCGCTGCGGGTCGGTCATCTATGTCAAGCGTGTCACCTTCGCTCCAAACGACATACAGCTCGACAGCCTCATCCGTGTTGAACACCCAGCTCAGAATTACTCAACCATCACTACAAAACGGTCCTTTTCAGGGCCACCAAAAATTTGTTAAAGAGTATTATTTGGACATTGGTCAAGGTTATCAGTTCCCGCAGGCAGCTATCTATCAAGGCGCAACCTGTCTACAGAAGGTGTGGAATTGTAGGCCTGAATATATTGGTGCAATTAGTTTTTCCTCGGCTTTCATTCCGCACGATTCGTTTCTTTCGTTTAATCCTTCACCCTTGTAGTGACGTCGAAAAGATTGTTTCAATCGGCGCTTACATATGAAATTTAATGTGGATTAAAGAATTTTTTGTATGTTACCAAAAATTATGAATGGTTTTCCACTAAATGTTGAGATAATTTATTGATTTGTTTTACTTCATATTTCACAAAATTGCTTTCGAGTGTTAAGACATCGTCTCCTGCAAAGTTTACATTTTTCCCTCTACCAACACATACATCAGGGCTAGATAGATCTCCACAGGATCTATAGAATCCACGCAATTTCAAAAAACCAAAATGCACAGCATTACGAAAAGAGGTTAGGTTTCGACCAATAGCAGATAGATTTTAATTCTAAACAAGCCAAACGATTGGAAATTTATCTACCAATCTGCTAAAATGAACACTAAGTTAATTTTCAATAGGTCACTATTGAAAAATACCAAATGTCCAACTGTTGCAATGGTGATCAAAATTATCACCGAATATCTGAAAACAGCGCATTCGCTAACACAGACTTAAAAATCGAATTCGATGCGGTCCCACTGGACGGTGCTCATTCAATCACCGTAAGTGGTGATGTCCAGTCCAGCAGCAGCAGTAGCAGGAGTGCTTTCAACAACAACAACAACGAAAGGCTGCCTGCAAGCAGTGAGCTGTAGAGCTCATTTAAGCAACCATAGAGAAGGAAGAAGAAGTCCCACCGCTAGGCTAGGATCGGAATCAGTAGCTCGTCGTGCTCAGCTCAGCATTACTCAACCATCACTACAAAACGGTCCTGTTCAGGACCACCATAAATTTGTTAATAGTATTATTTGGACATTGGTCAAGGTCATCAGTTCCCGTAAGCAGCTAGCTTTCAAGGCTCAACCTGGAATCTATAGAAGGTGTGGAATTGTAGACCTGAATGTATTGGTGAGATTAATCATCGTCCGACCATTTTCCAGAACACGCTGGTAGGAAGTGTTAAAAATCCATATAGAATTTGAGAGAAGTGGGAATAATTCGCTTTGGGTGTATATTCAGTCCCCAGAAAGCCAATAAAATCAAATTTGTGAGAAAATTAGCTTTCACGAGTTCAATCTCTCGAAGTCCCTCCTTTTTTACATATTCTGCACAAACGATACTTGCCGCCCCGCCCCATTCATATAATTCGGAAGGAAATCCTGTGAGGGGTTAATTGAATACTCTTTAATACCAAAATGCACAAAACTTAAAAATTCATAAATTACAAAAAAAAATCAAAATACACCTTTCAAAGTCGGGTAGATGAATCGAAAATACTCAAGTTGACAGTCCCTTGGATTCTCTTCAACTTCTCTTTGAAATAAATACTACAATTTTGATACGCTTACAAATAAAAAAACGGAAAGAGTTAAGATTATTGAAGATTGTTCAATTAAAAGAACTAAATGTTCACATTTGTTCCGTCCACTAACGGTCCTACGTCAAGCTTCCGTTCGTGCCCTTAGGCACAGACCCTTCTACTTTTTTGTCAAATGTGCATCGCAGAGATAGATAAGACAAACGTCGCTTAAAATGTTCTCTTGATCCTTTGTGCTGAGACCTAACCACTCATGACATTTTTTAAGATATTCTGGAATGGTCATTCTATTAAAAGTTACAGACAAAGCATGAAGGTTTGCTCTGGAGTTGTCGGTTACTATTCCACTGAACGGCAATCCGTCGCTTTTATAACGCTTCATGTATGATGTCAAATAATATGCAAGCCCTGTTTGTAGGTCAATTGCATGAGCATCAGATATGATATGATAAAATACAGGAATGGTCACCGAACAGTTCCTGGGATCTTGAATACAATTTTTTGCTCTTATAGCTAGCAAATTAAGTTGTAAATCTTTACCGGGGGCGTGACTTACACGTATAAAAAATGTACCAGTCGCATCCATATGAGCCAAAGATTTCCTCTTGTTGCGTATTTTTTCGCGGTGCACTACATCATGTCCTGCGTCCGAGAACATTTTAACAGCAAAGGGACGAGCGTCTATGCCTTGGACGAATTTCCTGTCCGATTCGTCATATTTTTTGCACAGAGCTGTTACGGGATCTTCATGGCCATCATCTTCAGCCAATGCCTTATGTCTGGCGCATTTGATCATTGAAGAAGATTTAACTTCGACACAATTTTTGGTCTCTTCAACAGATTCATCAACACTAGCAACCTGCTGTTGACGAATTTGTTTTGGAAGATCCTGTAAAACTTGACGTTTTAATCGGTCCATGGCCAATCCCTTGCAAGGCTGAGTCATTTTGTGAACGTGATTCACTTGGGTCTGATTGACAAACACGTTGAATGTCAATCCGTTTGTTTGGGGAAGAGAGGCAACATATTTAAATAGTCTGCATGGCTTTTCATGCCTATAGTGCTTGCAGTAGCCATAGACAATTATGAAACCCTTACTGTGGTTTTGATTTTCAACACAATAAATACAGTTCTTTTCAATTGTATTCATTTGATCTCTTATCAAGACCGGGTATTTATGTTTATCAAAAAGACCTCCTCTTTGAGGCTTGCCTTGATTAAGATAACATATTTCAAGATCTTTTTCAGTGAAATAAATTGTAGTGTAGTGGGTCCAGGTATTTAAGCCTGAGTCCCACGATACTCCAGTCATGTATGACTTCGGATATTTTCTTTTCACTAGATCAGTTGGGAGATCATTTGAAAATTTGTCATAGGTAATGTCTACCT